CATCAGCACTTGTTGCAGGCATTTTCTTTATGAGATCGTAATGAAACTGCCTTGCCTTTTCACAAATTTTTGACTGCACAACACTATCTCCCGCTAATTGTTGCTCTTTGAACCGTACCAACAACAATTTCTCCACATCTTCAATTGTTTAGGATCTGTTTTGTTGTTGCATTCACCCCTTTCGCAACATGAGGTTCCATGATTTCTTTTCTCTTTGCCACAATGGAGCTGATGGTGCCTTTTTGTACATCCTGCTGAGTTCAGCAATGCGTATGCCACTATCATATTTTTGAATTTCTTTTTTCATTTCTACAGTGTTCCTCACTCTCTTCACCAAAGGACTGGCACTAGGAGCTTTCTTTGGGGCTATGGTGGCTTATTTAGCAGTCACGCACAATAAACAAGTGCCAAAAACAATGGATTATTAAGAAATGTTTCGTATGATCTCGCAGGATATGTTCACTCGCCAAGAAACAACACAACACTGCCTGACAATGCATTTGGAAGGTGGCTTTGTGTGCTCACTGGGCACTGGACAAGTTCTGTACCATCGACAAAAACGGAACCAATATTTTAATGAAAATGGAAATCGGCGATAACAGAGATCGATGAAAAGGGAGGGTCCACTGTAATTCATTGTTTTTTGCATTTATTTATTCTGTGTGACTGCTAAATAAGCCACCATGGGCCCAAAGAAAGCTGCTAGTGCCAGCCCGTCGATAAAGAAGGTGAGAAACACAATAAAATTCAAGATGAAACTCGTAGCAAAGTACCAAAGTGGAGGTGGAAGAGAGAGGAAAGAATGTGCCTTCTTCAGTGATTCTACGATATGTACGATACTAAAGCAGCAGGAGTCGATAAAGACTATAGTACCAGCCAGCGATAAAGTGTAGCATTAACAGTGTAGCAAGTTAAGCGATTATGCGATAGAAAAAGGATGACATAAAACCGACTCCTCCCACATTATTGAAGGCATATAGAGCCAATGACAAACATATACTGCCCTGCCTATCTTCCACTGCCCTAAACCAATGCCAGCATCTCCAAGGTACAGTAAGTGTAATTTTTTTTTTTTTTTTTTTTTAACAAACCGGCCGTATCCCACTGAGGCAGGATGGCCCAAAAAGAATAACAAAAGTTTTTTTTTTTTTAAATTTAGTAATCTGTACAGGAGAAGGGGTTACTAGCCCCTTGCTCCCGGCATTTTAGTAGCCTCTTACAACACGCATGGCTTACAGTGGAAGAATTCTGTTCCACTTCCCCATGGAGATAAGAGGTAATAAACAAGAATAAGAACTAGAAAGAAAACAGAAGAGAACCTAGAGGGGTGTGTGTATATATATGCTTGTACATGTATGTGTAGTGTGACCCAAGTGTAAGTAGCAAGACATACCTGAAATCTTGCATGTTCATGAGACAGAAAAAAGGACACCAGCAATCCTACCATCATGTAAACCAATTACAGGCTTTCGTTTTACACTCACTTGGCAGGACGGTAGTACCTCCCCGGGCTGTTGCTGTTTACCAACCTACTACCTAGGATATTTCTTATTTATAAAGTAGGTAGTAGGTTGGTAGACAGCAACCGCCCAGGGAGGTACTACTGTCCTGCCAAGTGAGTGTAAAATGGAATCCTGTATTTGTTTTACATGATGGTAGGATTGCTGGTGTCCTTTTTTCTGTCTCATAAACATGCAAGATTTCAGGTACGTCTTGCTACTTCTACTTACACTTAGGTCACACTACACATACATGTACAAGCATATATATACACACCCATCTGGGTTTTCTTCTATTTTCTTTCTAGTTCTTGTTCTTGTTTATTTCCTCTTACCTCCATGGGGAAGTGGAACAGAATTTTTCCTCCGTAAGCCATGTGTGTTGTAAGAGGCGACTAAAATGCCGGGAGCAAGGGGCTAGTAACCTCTTCTCCTGTATATATTACTAAATGTAAAAGGAGAAACTTTCGTTTTTCCTTTTGGGCCACCCCGCCTCAGTGGGATACGGCCGGTGTGTTGAAAGAAAGAAAGGATTGCTGGTGTCTTTATTCTGTCTCAAACATGCAAGATTTCAGGTACGTCTTGCTACTTCTACTGACACTTAGGTCACACTACACATACATGTACAAGCATATATATACACACCCCTCTGGGTTTTCTTCCATTTTCTTTCTAGTTCTTGTTCTTGTTTATTTCCTCTTATTTTCATGGGGAAGTGGAGCAGAATTCTTCCTCTGTAAGCCATGCGTGTTGTAAGAGGCGACTAAAATGCTGGGAGCAAGGGGCTAGTAACCTCTTCTCCTGTATATATTACTAAATGTAAAAGGAGAAACTTTCGTTTTTCCTTTTGAGCCACCCCGCCTCAGTGGGATACGGCCGGTGCGTTGAAAGAAAGAAATATTTCTTATTTATAAATTACATACATTGTGTGAATAGTATTGGTGACTTCTGCTGCCGCCTGCACTACACTAATATGTACGGCTTCTCTCAGTGGCCCTTATAAACCCAACACCACCACATGCTCTTCACATACATAATGACATATTTTATTCATTCTAGAGTATATATCATGTTTCTATATTATTGTTTATTATGTCATATTAGATGAATTGTGATAGATAAATAAGCCATGGAATATAGTTCTTTTCTATAAAATGTATTTGTTGTTTATACTTTTGGATGTCTGAAACAGATTAATTAGATTTACATTATTTCTTATGGGGAAAATGGTTTCAGATTTAGTCTATTTCACATTTTGTTGGACTCTCTGGAATGAATTTAAGATGAAAAGGGAGGGTCCACCGTGATTAATTGAAAGACATGATCCTTACTGACCAGTATTTTTGGTTAATCATTCAGTAAAGATGGTTGAAAGTTATGTTAAGGAATATTAAAATACTGGAGTCATTTTGAATGCAACATCATAAGTAAGTTTGTGAGGCAATACTGTTAATTTAACAGATATTCTCTAAGATGAAAAAAGCACAATATCCTACTGCAAGAAGTGCAACCCAAAAGGAAGGTTACACAGGATAGAGAAAAAAAAAATGTTAGGACCTCTATGAATGATAAACGAAGGAATTCAATTATCACTATGAAAAGGAAGAGGGATACAACCCTTCTGATCTTAACATAGGTGAGTATAGCATGAACTTAAGAGAGATTTGAAATTCTGACAATAAAAATTAGCTTTTCATTAAAGTACCTAACATTAACTTTACTAATATACATGATAAAAATGGGAAAATATGTAAAGTGTTGGATGCTAATAGAGGTACAAGATTGTACTGAGTTGCAACAAGTAATTATTATGACTTGAGCAAATAACGATGATCACCACATAAATGGTGTACAATACCAACAAGTTCATGGATAAAACAAACGCAATACCTGGTTATCTTTATTATAATGATGTTTCACAAACTAGTGGCTTGTTCAATTCAATACAGAGACAGTGGAAGATAAGGTATTTAGTCCCTCAGCATGACAGGTGTTCAGTCCCTTAACCGTGATCAATCTGAAGCAGAAGCAGGAGGATGGACACCTTTATACTAGAGCCAGAAGGGAGGTGCAGCAGTTGAAGCCATCATCACAGGTGGGCAGAACCCACTAGTGGAAAGAGGCCATGCCATGCCCAAGAGTTGAGCTAAGGGACTGAACATCTTTTCAGGTTGAGGGACTGATTACCTTATCTTCCACTGTTTTTAGTATATAAACTCTAATTGAAAAAGCCACTGGTTGTTGAAACTTCTTCATAATAAAAGTTATCCAGGAGTTTCACGTATATCTTATTCATTGAAGATGAAAACAGAATTAAGAATGGATCACTAATTCTTAAGAGTAAGATACAGTACATACCAGTGATGGGAAAGCAACCAACATCCTGGAAATGTATAGATGAATATGCACACAAACTGCCTCACGAGGAAAGTGAAAGTCTAAGATGAGGTTCAGATGTGACTACCCATTTGAAGAGGAATACTTAAAAGGAACAATGTTTCAGGTATACATAAATTATCCTACATTTATTTGAAAAGTCATTCTGAATATTGAGAAACAATTCATGAGAAATATAATAAACTGTATTCCATAACAATCATTATAAGCATTTCTGATGATCCATCACTCTGATTCATACCAATACAAATATTCATGGAACAAACTGCCTTTTCCTTAATTCTCACTTTCTGCAGTTACACACATGACAATTACTAAGCATAATTCTACATGCTTATTCTAAATAAAAAAAAAAATCAACTTTTTAAAACATTCAAGCATCAGATATTAGGCAAGAGTTTGGAGTTTATACTAGCTGAACATTCAACGTGTCTGAAGACTCCAACATCTACTAATTATAAAGCATGACTTCATATCTTTTTTTTTTTTTTTTTTTTTGGTCATAGGTAACAAAAGTAAACAAGGTAAATATATTAATAATTAAGTGTATTCCAACTTTCTGTTGTCTTGCTTTCACATTCTCACTGACTTTTCTTCAAATACACATGTAAATTGGCCATATGCCAAAAATATTTTATCTGATGTTCTAACTACATACACATATCTACTGCATCTGCATTTACATAACACAGAATATATAAAAATTTAATTTAAGAAATTTTAAAATTATGGATGGGGATCTGTAAGCTGCCAGAACCTAAGCATTAACTAAGGATACAAGATGTACTGGTTAATTCACATAGTATAATAATGATTAAATATATCCCGTTAAAATGTTCTCTGAAAAGTAATCTAAGCTTCTATTGTAGTATTTTGATACTGTTTTCAATTTACCAGTAAACACAAAAAATCATGAGAAACGTGCATGCAAGGAAAATGTGCTTTCCTTTAACAAGTAATGACAACTCTGGGCAGGCTACAACAGATAAAAAATTATCATACCATGCAAAATTAAATGAATAAATAATCAATAAGCCACCTTTAAATGAAAATATAGCCATCATGCAGTGACATCTTGCGGTCTCAGGTAATAGAATTACTCACTTGCGAGCAACGCGTTAGTTGCTCCTTTACCAATACTAGTGTTCGTTAAGAGAAGGTCCAAACCAAATAATGATGAATTATAGGCTGAAATATCCAAAAAGAATTACACCATTAAATAGTAATTATTCAGGATATCATAAACAATTCTCTTTAAATAATGAGCTTTACTGAGCAGGTCAATCACTAACATTATGGAAAGCACTAATGAATATGCCTGCTGAACCCCTCCCAATACACTATAAAGTAAGATAACCAAGGTAGAAGCATTCACAGTGCATAAGAAATGATCTGACCATTAAAATACTAAAGATGGCAGATGTGTGACAAGTGCAAAAAAAGAGCTTGTGAGTTTTGGTAGCAAGTTGTTTGGAAACACCCCAATAAGAATGTGAGCATTTCATGCCAGTTTCAATTCATTTACATTGACACTACCTATTTGTAGTTACAGAATAAGAACTACCATTATAAAAATAAAGTTCCTGTGGTTGTAGCACTTGGTGTGCACTTACTACCTCTTATTCTATCCCGCTCCTCTATTCTATCACTGATAAACAAAAACTCTAGTGTCCTTTCAGAACCTATCTTTCTTCTTATGTTAACAATATCCTCTCGATCTCCAGATTGGTGGTGGCAAGAAATCTTCTGTATCTACTTTGCCAAATTCTTTTATGACCTTATACAGTATGCAGTTACTATCTCCTCTTTTCCTGCTATTATACAGGGAGGTTATTTTTAATGTTTTCAATCCTTCTTTGTAACTCATTTTTTTGTAAATCTGGAAGTAGCTCTCTAGCTTGACTTTAGATTTTTATCTTGCTTACTTTTTTTTTTTTTTTTTAGGTGTCGCCACCTCATTCTCTTTAGATATTATTTTGACCTAAGTGGAAAATGTCTTTTCTTATCATTTGCTCATTCATATATCTGAATGCTATTTTTAAGTTTGTCAGTTTCTAAAGCTTTCACTTCTATAATATCTTTTGATGGCATTCTCTTGTCAATGACAATTCTTTTATCTCTATATATATATCTCTCTCTATATATATATATATATATATATATATCTCTCTCTCTCTCTCTATATCTCTCTCTCTCTATATATATATATATATCTCTATATATATCTCTATATATCTCTATATATATCTCTATATATATCTCTATATATATCTCTATATATATCTCTATATATATCTCTATATATATCTCTCTATATATCTCTCTATATATCTCTCTATATATCTCTCTCTATATCTCTCTATATATCTCTCTATATATCTCTCTATATATCTCTTTATATATCTCTCTATATATCTCTCTATATCTATATCTCTCTATATCTATATCTCTCTATATATCTCTCTATATCTATATCTCTCTATATCTATATCTCTCTATATCTATATCTCTCTATATCTATATCTCTATATCTCTCTATATCTATACTCTCTTATCTATATCTCCATACTATATCTCTCTATATCTACTATCTCTATATCTATATCTCTCTATATCTATATCTCTCTATATCTATATCTCTCTATATCTCTCTATATCTATATCTCTCTATATCTATATCTCTCTATATCTATATCTCTCTATATCTATATCTCTCTATATCTATATCTCTCTATATCTATCTCTCTCTATATCTATCTCTCTATATCTATATCTCTCTATATCTATATCTATCTCTATATCTCTCTATGTCTATATCTCTCTATCTCTCTCTCTCTATATCTCTCTCTCTCTATATCTCTCTCTCTCTATCTCTCTCTCTCTCTATCTCTCTATATCTCTCTCTCTATATCTCTCTCTCTCTCTAAATATCTATCTCTCTCTCTATCTCTCTCTCTCTCTCTCTCTCTCTCTCTCTCTCTCTATCTTCTCTCTATCTCTCTCTCTATCTCTCTTTTCTCTTCTCTCTCTCTATTTTCTCTTCTATCTCTCTCTCTATATCTCTCTCTCTATATCTCTCTCTTATATCTCTCTCTTTTATCTCTCTCTCTATATCTCTCTCTCTATATCTCTCTCTCTATATCTCTCTCTCTATATCTCTCTCTCTATATCTCTCTCTCTATATCTCTCTCTCTATATCTCTCTCTCTATATCTCTCTCTCTATCTCTCTATCTCTCTCTCTCTCTCTCCCCACAAGGGTTTTGCAAGGTTAGATTAAGGGTTCCTATATTTACAAGCTAAAAGCTGTTATCTACATCACCTCAATTTCAAGCCTTTTTATTATGAGACATGCAAAAAGGGAACAGGATGAAATTGGAGTCATCTGTGGGCCAGAGATTTCATTTGGTCAACTGACCAAATAATAATAATAATAGTAATAATAATAATAATATCTTTATTTACAAGTACATGTGCATGGTATACAGGCCTAGCTGACATCAATGACATACTACTATATACAAAGCCACCAGTTATGCTGAGCATTTCAGGGAAATTAGGTCAGTTTTGTCCCAGGATGTGACCCACTCCAGTCGACTAACACCCAGGTACCTATTTTAAACTGATGGTTGAACAGGGACAGCAAATGTCTTATGGAAGCCTGTCCTTAATGTTTTCCAGCTGTACCAGAGGAGATTCGAACACTAGACCTCAGTGAGCTGAGTGCGCTAGTGGTATATGAAAATGTTCCAGACTCCAGTCATCCTAGGAATAAATGATCTCTGATGAAATGATATTCTTGAGAAAGGTACAGAGTGTATTTGCTGTTTGCTGCCTGTCTTCTTGTGCAGAAGTTCACTTCTCGCTGTCTGCGGAGTGGCCGTGTACATAACAGTAAAGTCATCCACATGAAATGACTGATCTCTCCAGGCTGGGTCCAGAAGAAAGAAGAGTTATTTTGCTCTGTTCTCTTTTCTGTCAAGAAGTCATAGGTGAGATGGGGGTCAGGCAATCCAAGAACGTGGAGGATACTCAAGGTGTGAGGGTACTTGTGCCTCGTACAGTCTCTCACATCCACTACTGCCGAGCAGATGTGAGATACTGTACGTCTAAGTGCTGCAAGTTTCCTGGCCGCCTTGTGAGATTTACTACAGGTCCGCCATCACAAATCCGGCATCATTGGGACCTGTAGTGTGCCGGATTACTGAGTCTACAGAGTGCTTAGGTTAGAATACACTTAATAAAATAAACCAACTTGACTTACACAAGAAAGTTCACTAAACCGGCAAAAATTGAACATTTCCACTACTTTGAGGTCAATTTGAAGATACTACTTTTCGTTGTGAAAGCAATCAAAATCATATCTTATATCCATTTCTGTAATATATCTTCCATTCTAACAAATGAGACCAAAAAAACGAGAATACAAACAAAAAACCATATGAAAATATACCATAAAGAGGCGGCTAATGACTGAAAAGTGAGCTCCCTTATTTATCGTCCAATTTTTTCTTCATTTCTGGTGTACGTTAAGAAGCATCTTTCCATTATACATTGCCCAAGTTTCAATAAGACAGCCCAACAAACAACTGAGAAAAAAAGAAATTACCAAAAATCATATATGGCACGCGCAAGCCAAGTACAGTAGGGCCCCACTTATACGGCGAGTTAGGTTCCAGGCTGTTGCCGGAAAGCAGACATCGCCGGAAGGCAGAACGCCATTTTTTTCCATTTATAAATGCATATAAATGCCAGACAACAAGTTTACACTAAATTATATTAAGCTAGTAATAGAACTAGGCATAAAAACACACAAGGTAAAATACATTCACAGTAAATTCATTACTTATCTTAAAGTATTTGTAATCTTAATGTAGGGAGAGAGGTGAGTAGTACTTATTTGTAGGAAGTCAGGTGCAGGTAGTCCTGGTGTAGGTAGCCCTGGCTCCCTGTCTCATACTTAATATACGATATTTAAAACATCCCAGAAAGGTAAAATACACATACAGTACACTCATTATTTACCTTAAAATGTGTGTAGTCTTAATATAGGAAGAGAGGTGAGTAGTATTTATTTGTAGGAAGTCAGTGTAGGTAACTGGTAGGTGTAGCCCGCCTGGGCTACACCTACCGGCTACCTACACTGTGGCCCAGAGCCATATTAACATCGACATACCTTGTTCACTGAATTTAATCATTTCTAACAACTACCTTTAGATGCCATCATAAACAAAGGGAGAAGTAATGAATAATTCATGCCGAAAATTGTAAACAAAAGCGGAGTGGGGGAGTGGCTGGGCCAAACGCAGATTCATACACGTTTTCTCTGATGGCCGAGCAGAGAAAACGTAATGTTGTCCCTCCACCCGGTTACCACAAAGGTCCACAAGTATTATTATCAGAGCACATATAAAATATGCAATAAATGCCAGAGAACAAGTTTACACTAACTTATATTAAGTTAGCAATAGAAATAGGCATTAAAAACACAATAAAAGGTAAGACACACACAGAGTACACTTATTACTTACCTTAAAATATTAATGTTAATGTGTGAGAGGTGAGTGGCAGGGTGTTTATTGAATAAAATCAGAATGGCACACCATCATCCTCTAACTTGGCACTTAAAGCAAGAGGCTTATGACTTCTCTTTTTATCACAGCTAACCTTAGACGCCATCGTCAATGAGAGCCAACTAGTTAACGAAAGAGTAAACGAGAGAGAGAGAACGAGATACAGAGTTAAGACAATATAAGAACACAAACTGAACAGGTAGTGGGCGATCACTTGGTCAGGTGAAATAAATGCGTATTAATATGCGTCTACTTTTAGTTCATTCACGTATGTTTGTAAGAGCTTGTAAAACATTTACCTCAATATTTTTTTATTATAATAATAATTACCTCACAATACAAATACTCTTACACTGTGTACAAGTTGTACAAGTTAGTACAGAATAAACAAACACCAATACACCATTTTTAGAGTGAATGAAGATAATAATAATAATAATAATAATATTATTATTATTATTATTATTAATAATGATATTATTATTATTATTATTATTATTATTATTATTATTAATAATATTATTATTAATAATAATATTATTATTATTAATAATAATATTATTATTAATAATATTAATAATAATAATATTATAATAAAAAGCACTAAACCCACAAGG